GATTGTTCATTGAGGTGTCTTTCCCATAGTATTCTCTGATGCTTGCAGTCTCTCTTCCCTCTGGCTTCTGTGCTATTACCAGTACCTGAAAAGACCTTTCATGTCTCATGCTGATTTCCTGTTTCTCTTACCTGATGAGTCCTTCAGTGAGAGTGAGACAGAGCAGGCCGAGTATAATACTCTTCGTCGTTCCTCTGTTCCTCACACACACAAGAGACAGGTGAACCAAAAGCATTTATACCAAATCTTATCCAACCCCAGTTACCCACTTTTTCATTTCATTACTTTTCTGTTTCCAAACAGGTTCCAGCGATAAGGTTGATATCAAACAAATTTGGGTTGATTGTGTCTGATCCAATGTTTGCTTTATCAAAGATAATTGAAGTTAATTGTATTTTTATTGCTTTATATAAACTGCTAATGTAATGATATTGTTCTGATATGATTCCGCAGTAACAGCAAGGCAAATTAAGTTTGTACGTAATAAGGTTTATATCAAGTATATCTGTGCCACTATTATTTGGCATTGTTGTTCAAAAGATTACCATCACGGTTTGTGTCATTGAATGTCACCTTCAGACATATTTTGGAGCAGAACAACTCAACATTCACCCACAATGCAGCTTGTACTTGGCCATGGAGTATCAGCTGAGTTGTATGTCTTTAATATCTATAGCTATTGAGCCCTGACTGAATGCCTGAGAGAGGACTTTGCATTAGAACGGTGTTTTCCAACCCTGGTGCTGGAGGCGCCCTGCTCTGTACATGTGTACATAAGTGTTTTTTTTTCAATACATCTGATCCAACTAATCAGCTCATTAACAACCCCTTACTGGGTTAAAGCAGGGAAGGCACTAAAATGTGCAAGGCAGTGGGCCTCCAGGATCAAACCAGTAGTAAATTGAATCAGCTGAAAAAGCACCTAACTATGCTGAACTGTGAAGCTGCATTAGAGAGTAAATAAAATATTTTGGTGTAGCGGTAATGTCTATTTTTATATCTTAACCTCTTTATCTTTATATTAACCTCTTTATCTCTAGGAGCCTGTTGTTGAACCCCCATCATGAACATCGGTGGTTAAACGTCAGTTGTAGTTTAGTGAACATCAGTAGTTTAATGTCACTTGTAGTGTAGTTGTAGTGCATTGTGTTTCTCAATGACGGCACTAATCGGCACTTGTCAGCACAGGCTCGACTGATTGATCATGTTAAATGAGCGCTGGAAGCCAGCAGCAGCACATACCGGATCTTCCCTTTTTCTTTTTTGATTACAAATACAGAATACTTACCAAGTCCTGGTATGGAGAATTATTTCTTTTCATGTGGGTGAAGAAAGTATAGGCATGTTGACCAGCCGTTACTGAGCATTGTGTTTGCGTGCAACTTTTCAAAGAATGTGTGGGGTGATGTTGATGTCGACAATCAGTCATCTTTGACTGCTGCTAGCGTTTACCCTCATCTAACGTTCTGAATTCAGTTCATGAAGGGCTAGCTAATTAGCTGATGAGCTGAGTCAGGTGTGTTTAATAAGGCAGTGTGTTGAAGTCTGCGGTGTTTTGGCCCATGAGGACTGGATCCTGACACATGTGCCCTAAGGGCTTGTATGTGGGCCCACACTTCGCCACAGTAGTTTCATGGCGGTTACACAGTAATATATATATATATATATATATATATATATATATATATATATATATATATATATATATATAGTTACTGAATACTTAAGGTTAATAATAGAATTTTAAGAGATTAAGGAGTGATGATAATGAATTTATAGTTAGAATTATTTTGTTATAATCTAATAATATTTCATTATTTTATAACTGAATAGCATGTATAATAGCACATTTGTGCAATTCCAGAAAAAAAAAAAAGTTGTTTATTAATTGTATAAGAGTGCACTGAGAGACACTTTGTGAGCAGGAAAACATATTTTTGTACATGTATTTTGGTCCAGCTCAAACACACAGTAGCAAAGCACGTGTTTGTCTGAGGTCTGGCCATACTGCTGCTGTATGATACAGAGCAAACAAACTTCAGTGACCTCACGGTATGAGGGAAAATAAACGAAGAGCTAGATTCCATCTCTTTCGTCTTTCCAGCACGCTACCACAGAACGTCAAAACATCCAAGTGATGTCCCTCCCCTGTCTTTGCCTCTTTTTAGAAGAGCCTTTGAGGAATTTCAGCTCTAGTGTTGGTTTTAACAACATCTGCCCTTGCTGGCTCTACCTTTAAAGAAGTTGTTTTTAGAAACCTTTGTCTATTTTGTCCTTCTGCCAGAAATGAATTCAAAAAGATATGGTTTAAGAAGATAAGTATTTCCAAGATTCAACATACTTTTTTTGTCCTGATTCAAGTACAGAGATCTGCGGCCTCAAGAAGCTTATGAATCTGTCGTCTCAGAATGAGTATGAAAGCCAAAATTGACCCAAGATTAGCAGCTTGACTTTCAACTCTAATCCTAGAGTTGAAAGCTAAATGTGGCAGAGCTTGTTTTGTTGCTTGACTGTGTCGGGGATAACACAGTACCAAGTAATGCTACCGTAATGTGATTTACCTTTTTCTGTAACAAAGCAGTGTAATGCATTACAGTTTAAATTCTTGTAACCACATTACAGTTACTGCCTTCATAAGAATTGTGTTACTTGCGTTACATCTTAAAGACAAAATAAATGATATGCTTTTAAAACACTATCCTTTTCTTTCCTCGTATGTATATTTTTGTGTGTGTGTGTTTGTGTATGGCACCTTTTTTTGTTACGTTCTGTCACGCATTTGCCAGTATCATGGGATGATATGGACTTCATTACCCAGAACTCTCCAATACCCACAATCCTCAGGGGGATCACATGACTTCTGACAACATCTAGCGCTCCTATCAGCACTCTCGTTCTCCTGAGTATTACCTATTTGCACCTGTGTTTTAGATCACATGATCAGGATAGGGCAGTTTTGAGCCCGGGCTTTAGTGAAGTTCAGTGCGAGGTATTGCTTCTTCACGAACTTACTGAGCGTTGTTTCTGATCATTTGCCTGCTGTGTATTTGACCTTTTGTTTCACTTTCTCAACTCTGCCTTTTTGCCTTACCCCTTTTTGGATACTGTTGCCTGTGATTTTGGTGTTCTGTGTTTTTGACCCTCTGGACAGTTTTTCGACTTGCTCTTTTGTCTTGCCCCTTGGTTTCGTTCACACGGTGATATCATCATCCTTGTGTTTTGTATTTGCTGTTTGGCTTTGACCCCTGCTTGTTTTTTGACTCCGCCTTTGCCTAACTCCATTAAAACACCTCTCGCCCTTTTTTACACTGCGAGCGTCTGGATTCTGTTGCTTTGTCAGACGTTCCACCTTAAATGGAGCAGCACTTACATTCAGTTACTTGTACAGGCACCTGAATGCAACTGCTGCACCATTTAAAGTAAAATGGGAATTTCAAATAAGAAGCCAACCTCAGCTTCATCATTTGTCTCTTATGAGCATCCCATACACTTAAGCCTATGACAGTCAGACATTACTCGAATTTGGAAAATATTGCTGTCATACACACTTACAATACAAGCTGGTCCATTGCTTGTTTCACACACAAGGCCCTGGCGGCATCTGATGCAGCTGACCAAGTCAAGCAGTTTCTCAGGCAGTACGGGAGAAAGCAAGAAAGGCAATCAGTCTGGTGTCCACATTAGGCTAAAGACAACCCCAAAAGACCATCCATTCATTTATTAGTCTGCTGCTTTTTCCTTTTGATTTGAAACATGTCTCAGTCAATTAGCTAAACAGGATTACATTGGTGTGGTTTGCACTGTCTGTATGTTGTGTTATCAGAGCTTATTTGTGGCCTATTGGTATAATGGTTCTGATGCAACTCCTCTTCCCTGAGGTAGATAACTTTTCCAGAAAGTAGTAAGTAATGTAAACCCATTCCATCTTGAGAGAAGCGGTTAGTAACTTCTTTGAGTAACTACCCCAACACTGTTGCTCGATCATAGCTTCTGTATGTATACAAGTGAGTGAGTAGCAGTGCTGGCTGAGGTGAGGAGTGACAGAGTGGCAGATGGTGAAAGCAGATGATTAGATGCTGTTCTGAGATCACTATGATCACAGCAGACTGAAGCTCTGAAGATTCACTGCTGCCACACACACACACACACACACTTGCCCTAACCGTGCTGTCAACAGAGCTGTCATCTCAATCACCCGCCTGGGCTTCTCTCAGCTCACATAACACCCATTATGTTTAACACACCACAACGTGGGGAAACACTTTAAAGAGAGCTACTTTGACACAACTGGCCTTTCTGAGACAGAAGCCTGAGAGCTTTTGGCCTTGGTGGTCACTCTTGTCTCTCATTTTGACTGAGAGCTCATGAATATTCAGTCTGCAGTGCTGTGTCCACATAGCTCAAACAACTTGGGTGATGAATACCAATCAGTGAAGTGTGGGAAAGACGACTTGGGGTCTGGATTCTTTTCACAGGTGTCTTTCACTCTACACTCCACTGTTATTGAAAGGATCCGGTGTTTGTTTGAATGAGGTTAGCTATGCCAGTTTGAAGAACAGATTTAATTATGTAGGTCATCAGATATCATCTAACAGTGACAAAGGGGATAGTATTTGGCTAATGGGAGAGCTTCCCACAGAGTTGACTCTAATGTGGAAATTGGGCATTTTCTTTTTCTTTGTCTTTATTTTATTTTCCATATTTGTTGATATTGCTCTGGTCTCAGTATGAATGTAATATAATACATGATAACTTGCTGTTAGTCAAACATCAGTTTAATGTAGGACTGTTCTGTTTTTTTTTATCTTGAAATAATTATTCCTTGAACATGCTGCATCAATATGTTGCTCACAAGATCTCCACAGTGTCTGTATTGCAGATATATATAGACCATGCGTATGAGGCCACAAGATGTGAGTTTCGCCATAAAGCAAAGTTGATGATTGCTATAACCACGTCATGACACGAGGGTCTTTATTGTAATAATCATGACATGGTGGTATCATTGTATTATTTTATTTATTTCTGACTAAAAGCCACTCTGACAAAATACAGTGTAAGGGCCAAGAATTTTAAACCAGCAGTTATAAGACAATATACTTCATTTTGCTTTGTTGCCATTAATGGACTTGCAAGTACAACCTTGTAGTTAAATGTGTAACATTATGCCAGGGTAGCGAATCCCACTCTAGCATTGCCTTGGTCAAACACAGAGTAGAACTGTCTGAGGAACACATCACCAAGGATCCAGTAGGGAAGACCATTTCTGTACTCTTCATGGGATTGGCTAATGCCACTCCTGCAGTAACCACTGGAATCTTCATCCTGTTCAACCACAATTGTGTGCAAGGTCAGTTGTTTTACACAGATTTGTAATTAGGACATATTATGGTTATTATTCATGCATATTATCAAATGATACAGGACAGGCCAGAAGAAAAGTTATAGACAGCTTTTGCTCTCTTACCTGAAGCACATATGCAGAACCCGGCAGGTGTAGGTGAGCTCCGTTCATGACGAATGTAAGTGGGGGAAGGCTGCTCACTTCACTGCAGTCAAACACGTACTGGAAGTGTAACACAGGCTTTAAACTACAGCAAGCCCATGTTCAGACTATTTACTTTATACGCTTTAGTTTTCAATAAAACCACAAAAAAACATTTAAAATGCACCTATCAACCTAACAAAGCAGGCAAAAATCTCTCAATACACAGCCAGTCAAAGGTATGTTAAAGTCAAGTTTGTGAATAATTTTAAGACAATGCTATTCGGCTTCACTTACTTGCTTGCTCGAGCTAAAATATGGGTTTCTCTAAAGTTCATGGCAAATTATCTTGGTTGTAGACTGCAGAGATCTTTTATGACGACTGCACTCTTTTTGTATGTATTATATGTATAATCAAAACGTTTCAGTACTCTAAATGTAGTTCTTGGGGGTTCATTGCATTTAATTTGCATTGACAAAGTATAACTCAAGCTCACATCGCCATTCTGGTCCTGTTGGGCTCCCAGCATTTGATGGAGAGTGTCCACATACTGCGGAGGGCACAACAGAAGAGACGTGCCTGTGTCTGTTATGGCAGTACAGCCAGACTCACACCAGCCTGTGGCCTGATGATTCACCTCAAATCTGAAAGCAAGAAAATCATAAATTAATAGTTCATGTTGTTAATAGTTTAATTAATAGTTAATGTTGTCTTTGTAGATTCAGTATAGCAACTACCACTTTAATGTTAAGAAAACACGGCTTGTTTTTTCTTGATCCTGTCAAAACTCCATGTTTTTTCTGGTTAAAGAATTAGTTTGTTGTCCTTGGAAGTTCAGTCACTTACCCATCAAAGACTAGTTGCCAGTGGCTGTCCTGCTGTACAGGAACCCAGTTGATTTGGCCCTGGTATTGAGAGGGATCAGTTCCACCGAACACAACCTCACTGCCATTCTCAGAGTCACTGTTTAATATTGCATTAGTTGAATTAGCTGCACACTCACTTATACATCAGATTATGATCATGTTTTCCTATTCCAGGGACAGATATTCATGAAGCGAAGCAATTAATGGAAGAACCAAGGTCTATTTATATTTGCATTACCTTCTGTGGAGGTCTTCAGTCTGACGTTTGAAGACCCCATTCAGTTTCAATTTTAGCTACTAACTCACATCAACAAGGACAACGGAATTATGGTTGATTGACTGAGATGTGTTGGAAGCAGGAAAGAAACAGATGTGTAAACTGACTTGGAGTTCTCAGGAACTTTTTTCAGGATAATCAAAGATCTGATTGGTAATTGGACTGGTTTGAAGTGTTTTAGAACAGTATGACGTTTTCTTTACCTGCTCAGGTAGAAAGCAAAGACTGGCTCCTCAATAACACCTTCTTGGATCATGGTGTCCACAATGGTTCCCTGGTCGGGTTTGAAGGCTAGGCCCATGAGTCCATCATGCAGAGGCCTTGCAAAGTGATTACCTGGCTCTGATGTGCTTAGTCCAATCTTCTGGTTTGTGACATTCAGTTCACCCATCTGAAAGACAGTGAATCATATAGCACACTGAATTATAGAATCATGGTCCTATAGGACCACAGCATTGCTCTCGAAGTCTTTTGTGTTTCTGCTGTTCAATTTATGAAGGAATTGAGAAGTTAGAGCAGAACCCCTTTAACTGCAAGGACCTTTATGTGGGTTCACACTTGAGTTTTTACTCTCATAATTTAACTACATAACTTAAATATTAGTTTCATACTTATAGCTTAGCAAATAAAAATGAGTCTTAATATCACACATAACTGAATAATAAGCCAACAGTTTAAAGGGCTGAACTGTGCACTCCTCTGGACCCCTCGCATTAAACCACATTCTGCTGAAATATTTAGCTACAGAGCGTAAGACCAGGCTTACTGTGACGGTGTCATAGCCAATGATACCAGCAACGCTGCCCGTTCCATACTTGATTGAAAATGGTTGGTTATTGCTGTGGTATGTGGAGGACTTGCTTGGGTCGAAGAGAGGATGATAGGCTGGGAAACAAAAGGAGAATTACCCTAAGGATAAAGGAACTGGAGATTTCAATACAGCACATGAGCCAGGCTGTAATTACAGGGTGTAATAAATAGCTAGGTGCTTTATTGACAGCCTTAATCCCTATTCATTACTTAATTATCTAAGACCAACTTAATCAAAGGATGACTGACAGCATTATGCCTGACACATGGCTCAAACACCATTTAACCCTGACGCCTCACATTCACCACACAACAGTGCGTTCTTTTAGCCACACTTTATACTGCAATTTACCCTCTTAAAACCCCAGGTTTGTTACGTACTAAGGCTTATTATTCAGTACAGGGACTTCAGTTCTAACTGGTTGAGCTATTCTTAGGTTATAGAAGTGTGTAATAAAACTTTGGACCCGTCTTCGGGTCCTGGCCATTTAAGGGGGTAACCCCATTAAACCTGAAGATCTGCATGTGGGCCCACAATTTAGCTTCTCACGGTCATAACTATAAAACTTATATATCAGTTCAATGGTAGCTAGTGAATAATTCAGTGTAGTTACTTTAAGGAATGTAGTTATGTAGTTAGTTTAAGGGCACTGTATAGTACCTAGAAGAGAGCCTGCCATTGGTAACATCCTTGATGCAGTCAAAGGACTCTCTGGATGTGTAGTTACTCCAGCTTTAAATGGTTAGTTAAGCAAGAGCTGAATGTGTTGAAGTTCTCCTGTATCTGTGGTACTCACTGCAGGCACTGCTCTTGCAGTAGATGGAGTTGACCCAAAGAGTGCTGGAGCCAGTGTCAAAATGGACATAAAAGTATTGCGGAGGTGTTCCTATACCGATCTTCCCGTAATAGCCCATCTGGAGATGACAGAGATATGGATCATTAATTTGTGAGCATACAAAGCATTGAGTATTACACAATTACCATTGTAATAAAACGCCTAGATTTGAAGGACTCTTTGGGCAGTTTTCCAAAACTCATCAGTTACACCAGGTTTTTTTTTTTTATCAAAGTTAATACAATTGCAATAAGTCAGTTCGCTAGAATGACTTTGTAGCTGTGTAGTATTTCTGTAGCTGATAAGCTTACATCGTCCTGGTTGGTGAGGTCCTCCGTGTAACCTTGCTCTGAACTATACTGTGAGTGTTTCAGGATTTCCTTGAGGAGCCCCCTCTCCTCTATTATGGTCTTCTTTTTCACCAGAGGAACTCTAGACGAAAGATGTGCAAAGCAGAGGTAGATGGTGTAATGATTTGTTGTCAATATTATGATAAATTACATCATGATATGCTATTTTGTGGTGTTATGGGCATTGTTAGTATATCCCAGAACACTGCATGCGTAATAACAATAACAGATTTAGACTAATTATAGAGAGACTGCAAACAACAACATATACTACATTATAATAGTTATGTGAATGTAAATATATTATACCATTACCTCATCATATCAATTTATTTTTCTCAGTTGTTTTACTACTTTGTCCTGTTCACTCTCTAACACTAAAACTTTACAAACAATTTTATAGCATTTTTTAATAGCATTTTTGTTCTGTATACAACTATCACAAACAAATAGCATTTAATAATAAACCACTTTTATAAATGTGGACTCTCTTGCTTACCTACAAAGACAAAAATCCAGTTCACTTCTAATTGTATAAATTGTACACATTCCCATCAAATTGTATTCCATCAACGTTATGGAAGAAATAAATGAATATTGCAAAAACTGAAGGACCTTTAAAACAGATGGAATTTGCATTTTATGGCTACTGTGAAAAGGGATTAACCCCTTAAACGGCCAGGACCCACCAGCAGGTCCGAAGTTTTACTACACTCTTCCATAACATAGGAATAAATCAGCTAGTTTGCATTGTAGTCTATGTAGTTACTGAGTAATAAACCTTAGTATGTCGTAAGCCTGGGACAGAGTTTAAGTATCGTGATGTTATATTTTTTTCCATAGTGCCCACCCTTAGCTCATATCAACATTATGAATCTGGTATTCCAAAATCCTCCTAACTATGGTTATTCAATGATGTTATGCTTGCTTTCTTTTCCCATTTCTTTCTTACCTGACGAGTCCCTCAGTGAGAGCCAGACAGAGCAGACCAAGTATCACACACCTCATGATGCCTCCACACACCTCTGTCCTCACACACAAACTCAAACCATCTGAAGCAGAATCATTTATAACCAACTCTTATCCAACTGCAGTGACTTTTATGACTCTATGAAAAAATGCCTTAGTGTGATAAGGATTTCTTCAAACAAATTTAGAGTATGTTGTGGCAAATTTGATGCTGGCTTTATCTAAACTAGTTGGCCTTATGTAAACCAGTTGTGTATATTATACATTATGTATGCTGATAATACAGATATTAATGCCAGATGCAGATTTATCACTGCCACAATCAGTGGGCGGTGTTATCTTAGAGATTTCAAAGCTATGTTTGGAGTTGTTGAATGTCACCTTCAGTTGAAGCATATCTGAGCTCTCTGTATTTTTGCAAAACATACACACAATTATGTTCTGCAAAAAGATTTTTCCCAGCTTGGTAATGATTCGAAGATGAATATGCTAAATCACACGCTACTGAGCTTGCAGTATGTCTTAAACCAACTGTTTAGCGAAAAATTGGTGTTGTTCAAACTGAATGTCTAAATCTTCACACGCTTGCCGTAATCCTAAAATGATATGCTTATGTGGTTTCTGACACTGAATGCACTCAGAAACAGAATCAGAATTTAAGTATATCATACATTCATGCAAACAGAGGAGAATCGTCATATTCAGAGTTTGTTTTGTTCTTTTTTCCCCAACCTAAAATGCATTTATTGGCAGAACAATTTATTTGTTATTCATTTAATGAAATTTAATTTGGACCAAAAAAAAAACAGCTTATTTATTTCATTATTTCTCATACATTTTATGTAAATCAGTTAATTAAACACAACACATAAGTGGAGTTCCACCAATTTCTGCACAGTGTAATCATTGAGATGTGAACAAGGTCATCTAGAGGGGTGTAATGTGAAATGGTGCATGGTGTGATGATAATATTGCATTTTCCTTGTGTACTATTTTTCCTTAGATAAATTTGCATGTCCTTTCCCACCATGAATGGAATAAAAAAATTGTTTAAGGTCAAACCTTTATCTCCAAACTATTGTAGGACAATGTCTCAGGCACCAGGCAAATGTATTCATAACTATTTCAGGTAATCCCTTTCTGTGAGGAAGCTTTTAGAGGTTTTAAACGTGCCCGATTCCTGTTGCTGCTTCGGAATGACTTTGTTTATATCTCAATTATTTCATTATGCAGAAATGAAAAAATTGAGCTTAAGAATCACTGTCATTGCGTCTTCTGAAACCATATTAGCAGGTCTATATGAGATATCCGACTTGTCTTCGCTGATTTACTACATTTACATGCTACATGACATTAAGTAAGGGAAAAGTATTAAAAACGAAAACTTAAAATAGCTTTTATGTCTTTCGGTTCTCTCAGTCTGAATGATGTGTGTAGAGTCATTAACAGTGCATGCTATTGTGAGTAGTGAAATGTGGTGAAAGCGGATAGATGCTGCTCTTGTCATATGATCAGCTTATGATCACAGCATACTGAACTAGAAACTATAGGTATATAGGTTTCCATGGTTCACCTCTACTTTTAAAGTAGAGTCAGCTAAAGTTGGTGAGAAATTTCCAAATAGCATAAGTCCACAGCTGCCCAGCTGTCATAATCCATAAATGGAAATATATTATGGGTTGACTGATAAAACTCTGAAGGAGACTACACCACTAATACATGAATACGGAACTTCATAATGTCCCCCCATAGTGTCTCCCCAGTAGTACCCCTGCACACTTGCCCTAACTGTGCTGTCAGCAGAGCTGTTGTCTCAATCACTCGCCTGTCTGCTTGAACTCACATAACACCCATTACATTTAACACACCACAGAGTGGAGGAATAGCTTTGACAGAGCTATTCAGATGCGTCCACACAGGCGGGTCTTTCTGAGACAGAAGCGTGAGGGCTTTTGACTTTTGATGGTCACTTTTATCTGTCATTCGCTCTGAGGTCTCATGAATATTCAGACTGCAGCGCTGTGTCCACAACTTGGGTGATGAATACCAATCAGTGAGCTATGGGAAAGAAGGACCAGATTCCATCCGCTGCTGTCTTTCACTTCTGTTATTGAGAAATCTGATGCTGGTGTGAGTGAGGTTAGTTAAGGCACTTTAGAGAACCAGTCTAATAATTATCAGGTATTAGCAGACACATTAATATAGTAATTATGGGATAACTGACAGCATTTTGCTAATGGTAAAGACCTCTAGTGAGCACGTAATTCCACAGAGGTGACACTGATATGGTATCTAAATGTTCCACAAATAAGTGTGACATTTTGTTGGTTTATAACGTATGCATAACCTGAATGTGCTTATTGTAGGATCTGACTGATATATCACTCAGATAATAAGTTAACAGGCAGTACTTGCTAATCTAACAGGCTCTAACATTCATTACAGCTAGGCTTGAGCTGGTAATTAATATCATTGAATATTGCAATGATTTAAATCAGTGCTGATACGATGCAAATGATTGTTCTTTCATTCTCTTTCACATACAAAGCGATTTTCTTCATTGCTTTGCCTTTATTTAACTGCTCCCTTTGTGCAGTCATTCTAATCTGTGGGTGGTTCAAAAATGTACACAATAAAAAAGATTGCTCTTAATAATATTCTACACAAACAGAACAACACCAACTAATGAACTACACAGATATATACTTTGAATGACACTTGGAAAGACTTTAGTGTAGATTTTCACTCTGTCAGAAAATGCTAAGGAACATGCAAATAAGACAAAGATAAGACCGACTCTCTAGTAGACAGTAAATGGACAAGCTTGTCCAGATAAAGGGTGTCAACCAAACAAATGTGCAGAACTACTGGATGTTAACAGCATGCCATTTGTGCAGAACACTGGTATCATTATTAATGATTAATTAACATTAGAACCTAGTCTAGTGGGTAATTATATGGTGTTTATATTAAAAATGCAAGCTACAGGTTAGGTCTCTGTAATACTCAAATGTGGTACTAACTGGATTTGGATCACAATAATATCATTTATCACAATAATTCTGCTGATAATAATGGTTTAATTTATGTTATAATAAATCTGGCCAATGTTTTCACTTAGCAGAATGTGTTTTCTTCTTAAACTTGGTGCAACATTTTCATAGCTGGTTTGTTGTAATCTGATAGTATCCATATATCATACATAGCACAAGTTTGCTGGTGTCCAAAACCTTTCTTAGAATTGCTACGTGTCATATGTTGTCAGTGTAGCATTACTTGCACTTCCACAATGGGTCTGCATGACCACAAGACCAAAAGACAGTGGACTGTGGCCACAAGATGGAGATGTTGTTGTAATATGGTAGATCAATGGCTCCTACTTGGACATTAGGTTTTGCTGAAGCACTAATGAATTGTGTTCCTGTGGGGGGTCATTTTGATCACTGCAGTTTTGCATTTTACTGTCTAATCAGTCTTCTGCTCCAGATCAATTACATGCAGAACACTGATGTCTTCTTTTGGGCTACTGGTGAATTGAAATAAGCAAGACAAAGCTCTGTCACTCAAGACTGTTTGCTGTTTTAGGGAATCTCATGGTAGAATATAAATAAGCCTCACAGTGAGTACATAATTGTATGATTACAGTTATTAGAGCTGACTGCAATTATTTTCCATCATTGTTAGCTTTCACAATTATGTATTTATGTTGCAACAAATTGAATGTGAATTAGCTGCTTTTTAATTGGTTGGGTTGCAGCAAATACATGTAAACAAAAGAAAGCAGGAAACATTTGTTGACACGTTATGAGTCTTATGAAAACAACATAAGTTCCAACTTCTGACTTGGTGCTATAACACCAACACCAAGCTAGAGGGCAGCTGTGAGTAATGCTGGGAGCTAAGTTATTACAGCTAGGAAACAAGGTAGCTAATCAGCCAGTTTGACAGTTTTGGGCTTGTACTTTAATAGTTGCATAAAACTGTTAATGGCAATGAATTATCAGTTGAAATGTCATGACTGTGACAGGCTTAAATAAAAACATGATGAAAAGCATGCGTACATGGTCACTGTTTCTCCAAACAAAATCTCAATCTAGATATTAGATACATTAAAGCAGCTATTTAGAAATCCTCCTGAAATGCATTCTGAGGACCAGGCCTCATTTGCGTGCTACAGATCTGTACTATGTTCCGTCCTGTGGTTTCTCTCTTCGCTTGGGACGATAATTGTACGTGCAGGTCTCTACAGGAGGGGCAGAAATATCTAATCCTCTAAAGAGTTCACACGCTCTGCACCCTGCCCCTCCCACCACGGCCTGTTTCTTGCCCACCTCAGAGCTAACGAGATACGGCAGCTACTCACAAGGCCACTTTGGTCCCCACCCCGCTACCAGAGGGCCCCCGTTTCACTCAGAGAGCACTGACAAAAGAATCAGAGGAAAGTCTTTTGGGCCAGTTTTAATGAACGCAAACAAACATTTTCAAGGAGAGTTTGTTTTCTCGCTTTGGTGAAGTTGCTCATAAACTAGAAAATTCTTTGCTTCAGCCCTTAAAAACAAGGAGAAAGAAGAGGAAAAAGGGAATGTAAAATATATTATTGCTGCAGTTACACATATATTCTATGTAAGCTGCTGTTTAATGTTTACAGCAAGCATAAGCTATAATTACAGTGTGAACTTTGGCTGGCATCCTATAGAAAGCAGTGGGGAATGGAGCAGTGTGTTTTGGGGTCCTCTGTGTGTGTTGGTGGTGTTTTATGTTCTGTGTAATGCCTGTGGAGCAGACAGCAGTACACAAGACATGCTTTCACTTATTTTCTCAGGAAACCAGGAGGTGTGCAAAAATATCACATTTCTGTCTTCCACACAACACACTTGTACTGTCACACACTGCAGAGAGCTGCCCACCTGTAATCTATGGAAGCCCATTCTCACCAGGTGTTTTTTCTCCTTCTCTGTTTTTGGCAGTAGTATGTCAAAACATAGACTATAGGATTTCTTAAAATATATTGACTTATCTCAAAACAACGACTTATCTTCTCAAAATATTGACTTAGTGTCTCGAAATAATGACTTTCTTTCTCAAAATGCTCGAATTTTCATGTTCCACCTTAAAT